GGTGGACCTATCTTCCTTTCACCTTTAATTGCCATTGTTTACAAAAAAAAAAAAAAAATGTACAAGCTCTCATTCGAAGAAGTTCTCACTATCTTGCATTTTGTTGCATGTTTCAAACTTGTGGGCCTTATTCAACTAAATCCAAAGCATTTCACATTTAAAAAAAAAAAAGAGAAAAAGAAAAAAGAAAAAAAGAGGTTCTTCCAAGATAAATTCATGAAAAGTCCATCTTTTAGACATCAAAATAATTTGAGCACATGATTTTGGAGCATCACATCATCATTTTCTCCAAGCATCACACCATTCACTTTTTCTTCAAGCTTCATGGCATTTGCTTTCTTTTCAAATGATATTTCCCATGAATGCCAATTTAGTGTTTGCAAAAGTGAATCACCAGCTGCTCCTTTGAAATTTGCATACTTGAAGAAAATTCATGTTTTAGGATACAATTTCACACACATTACCACTTGTCAGCATATTTATATTCTTGCATCCTTTATCACTCATTTCCCATCCATGTTTATTTCTTTTCTTGCATTCCCAAAAATGCATGCTTTAGGATACAACTCCACACACATTACCACTTTAGAGCATATTCATGTTCTTTCATCCTTCATCTGTTGTTTAGCATCCATGTTTATTTCTTTTCTTGCATTCCCATAATCTTGCTTGATTCTCTGCCTTCAATAATTGAAATATGGGTTCATACATGGTCAAGCGCGATTCTTTGTCAATCAAGACACCTTTTGAAATATTCATCCGTGGAGAAAGCTTTGACCAACAAAGGATTGAGGAGATCTCCAATTGCAAGCATTTCTCTCCTATCATTCACAATTGCCAAGTCTATGGGTAAGATTAGAAGGACAAAAACCAAGAGCAACCTCGAAGATCAAAAGCTCAAGCACATCACACTTCATGTTGCTCCAACACTCAAGGGATTCGTCAAGGAAAGGAATGCAACTTCTCATTAGACAATTGTATTTTGAAAGATCTAGGAGTCAGATTTTACTAGGGACTTGAATGCTACCATGTTGATGTACTTAGTGTGATGTACTAGGCTTTTGCTTTGTAATAAATGGCCATCATTGTAATGCATGTTGAATTGCTTGTAAGTGTCTACAGCCCTTTGAGTGCGATGGAAATCTCAATGCGTTCAAAGATATTTTGCTTCATCCAAGGCTCCTTAAGGATTGGAAATCGACAATGTGTGAATCCATATAGCAATTGTTGAAGCACTAAATCATGCAAAATTATGGGATGACTTCTAACATTATTCTAACTTTGTTTATTTTTCTTTTACTGTTTGTTTGTAGGTAGGTTTCATAAACTACTTCAAGAACAAAAACAAAAAAATCAGGCATGATAGTTTCCCTATGTTTTCTCACTCTTTGGAGCAATGATCACCTATCTAGAAGGCAACCTTCAACATACTCTTATAAGCTCACCAAAATATGATGTTGAAGTGGACTTACACACGAGACATGTGGATCTAGATTCAATGAATGAGGGGGCAAATCTAGGACATGGGGAAATTTGAGTATTATTGCTCTTAAGGATGAACCCCTATTTGACCTGACCATTACTTCTGCCTTGGGGACACTTTGACCAATTGGACAGTCAAGCTTTTCTTTGCTTCATTCATCCATGAGTGGGACGAGTCAGCTTTCTAGTAGCTCAACTTGTGGCTACATGAAAGGAGGGAATAACAAGCTCTTTTATATTCTCTGAAATATTTGCTATCATGCTAATTAGTTTTCCAATCTTCACAATTCAGTCTCACATGTTGCCATATCACTATCCATTAAACTTGATGCAACTCTTCTTGATGCCATTAATATGCTCAAAAAAAAAAATAAAAAAAAAAAAAACAAAAAAAGAACAAAAAGTTTACTTGCATATATATGCTTTCCTCACATGTTGCTTATCCATGTTTCTTTTTGCTTTCAGGCTTTGCTAATGATGAATCTGAATACAATGATGCCATTTCAGGATTGGTATATGTTTCAAATGATCCAAATCCATGTTGAGGAAGATGATGGTGATCTTGATTCTTCCCTTGAACTAATTAATGTGTTGCAAAATAGAGGCCAAAGTTGCAGTCAAATGTGATAGACTCATACAGAAGAAAGAAAAAAAAAAGATAAAGAGAGAGAATAAGGAAATCTTGCTAACTTAAGTGGAATGATTGTCATCATTTTGAGGTCTAAAGTGAAAAGCTCAAGGATCGAAGCCATCTTTCATGAGCCTAATTGCCAAACACTTTACCCAAAAGAGTCATCCTTTTTGTCAATCAAGTTGAGCCTAAAAAGAAAACCTAAGCCTTTCTTTCATACCTATCCCAAAACCGGGGAATATAGTTGCATGCCTAATTGGGGGCAAGATCATATTGCTAAAAGCCATGAAGAGAACTCTCAAAAGAGGAGCAAAGTTCAAAGAGAGCAAAAGCTCAAC